ATGTGATTTCCACCTCCCCTGCTCTCCTTAGGGAGAAGTTCCCTTGATGTATTCATATTCCTGTTCAAATGCATTCTTCAGAAACGCACAACTTCAATTAAATCTTCCCCTCTAATAAGATACTTCTAATAAAAGTGTGATTTTAGTGGGATCCATTTTTACTAAGGTCTTGTTTGCACGTGGCTTCTTTGAAATAATAAATTAAAAATGAAAAAAAAAAAAATTAGATTCATCAAAAAGGTTGATGATGTAAACAGTTTTCTAAACCACAACTACAAAGCAGCGTTGTAATACAGCCACTTACTACCTTCATGGATAGAAAAATGTTCTAACCTTCTGGTTTTTTGTGTGCTCTCTTGTCCCTTTTCCATGGCAGGTGATCCCAGCCTGTGCACTGAGCCTCAGAAAACATAAATTTGTCTTAAGCCTTGTGATTTTTTTAGGATTATTTTTAAAATGGGTTTAATATAATTCACATTCTGATTTCTTTATGCCGTGTTTCTTCCGTGGGGGAACCAGAACTGTTGAAATGACACAATGCTGGTAGCCAAAGGTTTTGGGGGAATCCAAGATGTTTCAAAAAGCAAACATGTCACCGATAACATCAAACTAAGGCTGAATCCGTACTCCTGAATGTGACTGGAATTTCCAGAAGGAAAATGAAAACTCATCTATGCTGGGCATGGGGCTGGTACCTGCTCACAGGGTGGCTGGAGCAGGGTGACCGGCGCTGACCTTGCCCTGTGACATTTTGATCCGAGTCATGGGGTATCCCGCCGGCACGGTGTGAGGCTCCCTGCCTGCACCTTCCCTCTCACTTTTTAATCCAAGAGGAGTCATTTTTAGATGAATTTGACGTTTTGGATTGGGGTTGGCTTTGTTTTGTTTTTGGTTTGTTGCTGGTTTGGGTTTTTTTAACTGTGTGCGGAGTCTCAACATGATTCTGATGGAAGTGCAGCTCTCGGTAGAAAACTTAAGCCTGCTAAAAATAGACTTGCTTTTTTTAGTTGCCTTTCACTGACCTGTCAGAAACATCCCGTTGACCCTCTGCGGAGCAGAGCTTGGCACTGCCGTGCCAGTGGGCGTCTGGGTGAATCTGCAGGAGACAGCCAAAAATTCTCAGTGTAACTGGGCTAGTCTGTTCTGCTCCTGCTGGTCAGAGAAAGCTTTTTAGGTCTTGCAGGAGCAAGACTGATATATATGCTGATATTTCCTTATTATCCCTGATGGAACTTGCTTTGTCAAGTTTTACAGGCTTGTTGTTAGATTTGGGCTGTATGAAAGTGTGGCAAGAGGAACGTAGGTAAATATCCTGTTGGTTAGAAAACACAGTTTCACTGCTGTTGCAAAGGGAGATTAAATATGCAGTGTTTTAATCTACATAGTTTTAGGTACAGAAGAATGAAATAAACTTGAAAATGCCCTCTCTTGCAGTTTCTATCTGTCCATCTACCTGGGGTTTGCTGGTTTTATTTGAAGGGATCTCACTTGCCTCGTTTAGCTGTCATGAATAGAACATGCCTGCTGTGCATGTTCATTTCCTTTTGGTGACAATAAGAATCCTAGAATCATAGACTGGCCTAGGCTGGGAGGGACCTTAGAGATCATTTAATCCAACCTCCCTGTCACGGGCAGGGACACCTCTCAACTAGATCAGGCAACACATGGGGACCGAACAAGAAGTTAACTTTAGTGTTGTTTTGCAGTCTCTCAAAATACTGTCAATGAACCACGTGTGTCATAGGAGTTGTTCCAAAATATCTCTTTAAAGTATGTAAAATCCCAAACTGAAAACCTCAGGAAAATGCCCGTGATCTGCCTTGGTCTCCTCCTTCTTTTAACCTGTTTCTCTTTTTTTTTTTTCCCTCCCCCACTATTATGGTTTCCACATAATTGGCAGACCTTGCATTTCACTTCATTCCTAGGACAAAATGTAACCTCTTCTCAAAGTTTAATGATAATGGACTTCTGCTAGAAAGAGTGGTTGCAAGGCACACAGCAATACTCTCGTTTTCCAAATCCTACCCCTCTGCTGAGTAATTACATGAAAATCTGCTGGGTGACGATGATGACGGCATTAAGCTTGGTCTTAAGTTCTGTAACATCAGGCCTTTCAGGTGCATGCTGGCCGAAGGCCCACAGCGTTCCTTCGTTCATTCCTAATGCGTTCTTTGGTGGTCTGAGGCCATTAAAAAGGAGATTTTTGGCATGGCTTGTGGCAGGTCGAAAAATGGTTACTTAGTTTGCGTAAGGGCATAATAACATATTTCTATGATGTTCATTGTAGCAGGAAGTGGATTTTAATTTGTTTTATTTACATTTCCAACATGTATATTACATGGTTTTTTGATTACTCCCGTAATGCCAAATGCCTTCCAGATAAAAAAAAGATGAAAAGGTCTTTGCTCTGACAGGTCGTTAAGCTGAATTGATGGGCGTGTTGTCTCTGCAGCTCACACTTACAAGAGGGTGCCCTCTCTTGTAGCCTGACACCTCGATTAAGTCCTTAAGCCCTTTGCCTTCATTGTTTATGTATTGTTTGCTCCAGGGCAGGAGGATCTGACATATTCCATCCCTGCCTTAGGAAGTAAGTTCTGTGCAGCGTGACTGAAAGGCAGGCCTGTCAGGGCAGGGTGCTGCTTCCTCCCCACTACAGTCTTTTTTACTTTTTTTTGATGTGGTTTATATGAAAATACCACGTTGGACAACATAAACAAAACCAGATGTTTGTGTGTATGAACAAGGAATTAAAAAATGGCCGAACAAACAGTAACGGGGTCATGTAGGAGAGAAACTGGGACTCTTAAGCTCCTATAACTTGCCTGGTAAGGTAATGTATGCTAAAGCACATAAATGTTATTTCTCAAATAACGAATGCTGCTTACCTACCCATTGCTGATTTTTTGTTTCACTGCCTGATGATGCCTTTAGAGGCAAGCAGTGAGTAACAAAGTGTCTTCAATAACTGTCTGCCAGCCAGGAGATGGAACAGTTACACAGCAAGAGCTTTTTTATTTTTTTTTTTTTTAACATTTTTCCAATTTAGCTCAATAATACTTCTGAAAGAGCTCTTATTGGGGTGAAACTGCTTCTTGTGTTTGCGAGAGAGATGAATTTCTATTTGGCTGCTGAAGTGGGCTGTTGGGGACTGAACATGTGTTTTTTTTAGCTTTCAGCCAGCCTCTGCCAAAACTGACCTTAAGGTGTGTCTTGCCAAACTAATTTCTCTGTTAAACGGAGCGTGCTTCTCCTGGGGCTGCTTCGTTCCTTTGCTTTTGGGATAAAAATCCTGAAAGTCTGTGTTCAGGACTATCCCAGCTTATTACTGCGCCTCATGTGTTGAGTCGAAGACTGTTTGCAAGTCGAACACCTAAATTACTGTTTTCTTCCTTGTCCTTTTAATGCGATATGATGGTACTATCAACTAAACATTGTTGTCACACATGAGTCTTTCATTATGCCAGCTTAATTTTGAGCTCGCAAGCCAGCCTAGCAATTGTAATAAGATTATTTAATAACGCAACGAAGCTTAGCCTGTTTCCTTGGGGGAGGGACCGAGTCTTTAAAATACTTACACAAATACCTAAGCATCCCTACAGAAATTGAAAAAAAACTAGGGAAAAGGTATGGATTTACTAATAGGTCTGAATCTAGACCACCAGCTTGTTCAGGTAATCGCTGTTTCTGAAAATTATATAGCTTGTCTCCCTAAGTATCAGGAGTCATGAGGCTAAATTATAGCTGTGGTTAAAATGCCAAGTAATTACAACGTGCCATGTGAATTTTGTGAATGAGGATGTTTTTCGGTTTGTTTCTTTTTCTTGCCAAAGTCAACGAGATCCATGCGTGTACATTGTCTTAGCTTTGTTAGCTTAGTTTTGAGGGACATTTAAGGTCCTAGGTGCTTTTGTGATCCTCTCTCTTTTCTGTAAAATGTGCCCACTGTGTATAGGCAAGAGCGACGCTTTTTTAACCAACACAAAAATAGCTTCAGTATGAACTTTTTTGGCAGAAAACACAATTAGCGGCAAACATTGTCTCCATTTCTCTGATGTAAAATGGAAAAACATGCTGGGATTTTTTTGGGAAAGAAAAAAAAAAGAGTAATCCTTGTACACAGAAATAGGTGGCTGCACCCTTCTGCTTACATATATATAATTCAGTGCATTTGGTGGCAGAGTTATTGTATCCATTTTTGTGAAAGGTGGGTCTGTATGTAGACATCTTATTTTTCTGAGTGCCTAGAGCGTTGTGCAAACACCCCGTTAAAGAGTGTCTTTGGAAGAAGTTGCCAGGTGTACAAAGAGTTGCTTTCAGAGTGCGGCGGTGCTCCAGAGCCGAGTGGCAGATGCTCGTGGTGCGGATTGTTTGATCCTTTGCCAAAGTGTGAGGAGCACCCTTTTTTGTTTTCTTAAAATTTGTTTCCTCACACTGAAGCCGTACTCCCTGGAGCCGTGCAGGTTCTGGCTCCAAGGTGAACCTTACCCCCTGGGTAGACGAGGTGCCCGTGGAGACAGAGATTTGGAGTTTTACCCCAAAGCTGCAAGCCAATTGAAAAGGAGAAAGGAAACTTGTTCCACTGGGTGAATTCCCAGTGATTGTAGGAAAGACCCTTCGCCAGGTCTGAGGCAGCAGAAAGGGACCCTGCCAGCCCTGCCAGGTCTTTCCTTTCATCCTCGCGTGACCGTGTCCAGTTCTTGCCTCGGCTTCTGCTGGGGCAGCTCCTCGTGGCACTTACCTTGCCCCTCCTCTTGGCGGGGTGGAGGTGCCACATGGGTGGGTTTAATGTGTAATTAAGCAAGTCCTAAAAGCACTTAGAGAGCTTTCTGACTAAGAAGTGTTCTAGTAAGTGCAAGAGTCTGGTATCCAAATCCATTATTTTGTGTGCTTGATGTATTTATCTTTTTTTGGTTTTTCCCACGTGATCCCCACCGCCCTTAGCCCAGCGGAGATCTGTGTGTCTTGCAACACAGTGAATGCTGTTTCTGACTCTCTTTCAGAAGCAAGTATGGACATAACAGCCTATGATGATCACTCCAGTCCACCGCTTCCGAGATATTGAAAGGAAACCTGAATACCTCCAGCCAGAAAAGTGTGTTCCACCTCCGAGCCGCGTTTCGCTGGGAACAATGTGGTTTATCCGAGATGGCTGTGGTATTGCGTGTGCTGTCGTGACCTGGATGCTGGTGTTCTACGCCGACTTTGTAGTCCTTCTTGTCATGTTAGTTCCATCGAGAGATTATGTTTACAGCGTCATCAATGGCACGCTGTTCAACACCTTGGCTTTCCTCGCTTTGGCCTCACATTTTCGTGCTATGCTGACAGATCCAGTAAGTATCTCTCTCTCTGTACGTCTTGGGAGGAAACAGGTGATGTTTTTCTTGTCTGCTAGATGTTGGGTAGCTCAGCTGCCAAGCGAGTGGCAGATTTAAATGACTTCTGTATGCCAGCCTGCTGAGCAGGGCTGCTGATGCTGCATGCTGATTTTTCATCCCACCTGAGTCAGATGAGAAGTCAAGGGCCCAGCTCTCGATTCCCGTGTGGGCAGCTTCTCTTTTTGCACCGGGAAGGAGAGAGTTCCTCTCTGGCACCGTTTTCTCCCCTGTGGCAGATCTGCTGTTTGTGGCTCGTAGTGTCTTGACAAACAGGAAAGCTGGAAAAGCTGGTTCTGGTTGTCAGCCTTGGCAAGTGTTGCTCCAGCAGGCTAGAGCAGAACGTGTGGTGTTTTGAAAAGCCGTGTTACCATCTCTTGTACTAGGGAGTGAGCTGAGTGTGTTGGACCGTGCTGAAATAAATACCTCATGAGCGCTGAGAGCTGGCCCTTCTTAGGTAAGAGAAACATCGGAATTGTAAGACCTCCCATACATCTCTGTAGGACGTTCCTTTGCAAGAGAGCTGCTTTCTTGGCTTTCAGCTAGTGGGAAGATACTATTTAGTACCATGATGCTTCTGACTAACCCGTGATGGTTTTACTTTGCTTAATGACGTGTGGACCGTAGATTGACTTCAAAACCCCACCTCTGCTGGTCATTGGAAGGGAAAACAAGCTTAGGTTCTTCTTGGCCCCTTCCTTCAGAGTGTTCTTGCTGTGGATTGGCAGTGTGCCTCTGATACTTAATTTCCTGCTTGAAACCTTGTTGGGTGCTGCTTAAATTTCAGTGTAATCTTTGTTTCTTAGTTTCCAGCTCTCCCAGAAGCCACAGCATGCAGAAATGGCTTGATTTGGGGTGATTTCAAGGTTTTATGGTAAAGCCTGATGAATTGCATGCCCCTGCTGCTGGACGGAACTAGAAACAGCAGCTGAGGCTCCGAACCTTCTGGTCGCTGTACAGGGGAACAGAGAGTTGCAGCAGTTGTCCTTGTTAGTTATTGCATTTTGTGTGCCTTGAATGCCTTGGGACCTTCAGGTTGCTGGAATTATTTTGCAGAGCTAGCAGGAACTCCTCTGAAACAAAAGCTGTGCTCTGAAGCAGGCTGGACCAGCAGCTTGGAGAGGCAGATAAAATCTTTATGCAGACTAATTGGGAGAAGATATGTTAATTCCTAGTGTGTGGTGGGATTTATGTGGCGAGCCAGTGGGATTGTGCTTTTTCTGTTGGGGTTTTTTATGAGGAAAGCAGCAAAACAAAACGGAGGAGGGAAGATAAAGTGAGGGGATGCAGCAACATCTGGCAGACAGCGTGAGTCAGGAATGAGGGAAGCTGCTGGGATGTGGAGAACCATTCCAGGAGCAGAACGAAACAGAAAGCACTGCTGAGGCAAACAAACAGGATCCTTATTATAAATAAATGAACACCTGAATTCCTCAGCTTTGATAGCGTGTGTCATGCTTTTCAGGAACTGCTTCCTCTGGGTTCTTGCAGAAAACATGCCTGAGGTTTTGAGCTTTGCTGCATGTTAAAGAGAGAGAACATGAGTTGTAGCATTTTGGGAGATTGGGCTTGGTGATTTTTGAACTGGTCAGGCCCGTTGGGAGGTTTTTTTGTGGGAAACGCCAAAGACTGCTCAGGAAAGCTTTATACTACCGGTTTAACATGCAGTTTTCTCATTGATGTGCATTACTCCCGTTCATTGCTGTTAGGCAGTTGTACAGTTGTGTTAAAAAGAGACTGTTCCATCAGAAATCTGTTAAAAAAGTACATCCCTATTTTTATTTCAATATAAAATCCTTATGCCCATAGAGGTGCATTTGTGCCAGTGTACCTGCACTGATTTCATACTGCACAGTTCATGACTTTTTTTTTTGGTTGGTTTGGTTTTTTTGTTGTTGGTTGGGGTTTTTTGAGCAAATTTAGAGCCCTAGAAAAGCTGGAAGCTATTGAACTTGGGGTTCTGCAGCAGCAATACCTTACCTGTTTCAAGACACATATTTTCAAGTGGAAATTGCACTGATTGTGGCTCAGAATGTTTTACCCGCTGCAGGTGCAGGCAGGGCAGGGAGGGGGAGTGTAAGTCTTATTCAGGAGTGAGGATTCTTAGTGTTCACTGTCTGAATGTTAAACCCTAATTTAAATAACAAATACAAAATGGAAGCACGGCTATTAATACATGCAGTGTTTACCAGCAACTCTTAGCCTACACAGTGATACTTCAGAAGTAGCTGCTTCTACTGGAATTAAACATCTGTGGTTTCCAATCTGCGATATGAAACACTGGCATCATCAATTTGTTGATAGATATGAAGAGAGAGGGATGAGGATTGTTAAATGGTTTAAGGTTACTGTGGGATTACAAAAGATTAATTCCTTAAGTGAGGATTTATTGATGTTCCGAACAACAAAACCCACTGAAATTATGTTTAGGTGTATTAGGACCTCATTTTAATTTTTTTTTCTGCATCTTTTTGAAACTATTGAGCTTGAGGAAGTTTCTATTTCTTTCTCTTCCCTGCCGTCCCATAGTTGTAAGTCATCCTATGGTTCTTAGCACTCCTAACGTCCAGAGGTTAATCTTCTGGTTTGTTTGATTTTGTGTTTGTTTTTCTGCAGGGTGCTGTACCCAAAGGTAATGCCACAAAGGAGTTCATTGAGAGTTTGCAGCTGAAGCCAGGACAGGTGGTTTACAAGTGCCCAAAGTGTTGTAGCATCAAACCTGACAGAGCGCATCACTGCAGGTAAAGCCTCTCTCTGAGGACGCTCGGGAATTACCCACCTTGATCTAAATTGTTATGGGAGTCTGAGACTGGGTGGTTAGGTTGAGAGATTGGCATCCAGATGCTGTTGCCAGACATGCTGGAGCTTCTCTGAAAAAAATCTCAGGCCTCTTAGGACAAGTTTTAATCTGTAGCAGACTGGGGCCACTTCTTACAAAGTGAAAAACACTTAAAATGAATGTGGCTTTGACTCCAGACCTGCAATTGTAATTCCATAAGTTTTCATGCAAACGTGCCTTAAAACAAGGCATTATATACCAGGGTGCATAGAAATCCATAAAATGTAACATCTCTCAAAAGGTCACTGTCCTTTCTAATTTTGTTTTTATTCACAAGCCCATTTGTCTAAATGTAGATTCTATTCAGAAGTGGTATTGAAGTTAAAACTAAAGTTCAGGTAACTGTATTTTTGAAGAGTTCTGACTTCCCCGTTTTCATCAAGCGCTGTGACTTTGTTTTGTGCTTGGTGGTAGATCAGTGCACGCCCACTGATCTGTCGTGTTCTCTGCCTTCTGGTAGGATAAACTTCCCTGAAGGGAGTAACTGATCAGGAGCTTTTCAGTACTAAAGGCAGCGAGCAAAAAAAACCCAACAAACTACTTCCTAAACTTCTCTTCTGCTTTTCAAGCAAGTGAACCTGCTTTCCTTCATGAGTTTGCGCTGGTGTCCCTTCTTTATCTGCTCACACCCCAGTACAGACGGGGAGAGCTCCTATCACGGTTTTCTCAGGTGTCTTGCGCTACCGAGCTGAACAAACTTAATCTGCTCTTTGCGTTTCTCATTTTTTATTTTCAGAGCTTTAGTTTGCAAATGTTTTTGTAGGGTTTTTTTTTTATTTTAATCAAAATCAGGAGTTGAAAAAAAAGGAGCCATGTGATCGCGCCTATCACTTATTAATGCTGCTGTAAAATCCCCTCTGACACTTCTTCAATTATGAATGAAACTTTGTATCTAAAATGCTGTCTTGCTGGTGACTCGCAGCGTAGGTAAAGGAGAAAGACTCTTCGGCTAAACACCAAACCTCATCTGCCTGCTCCTTTTTCTATGTTGTAAGGTAACTTTTTAGGCATTAAGATTTGGGAAGCTGATCTGCTGAGTGCTGGTGCCATGGAAAATCTTAAGTCAAACCTTTTTTTCAGTGGGACAGGGGGATTTAATGGACTTGCTCACGTCAAGGCTGTGGGCAAGTGGTTTCCAGGCACATATCCTTGGGGATTGCCCCCTCCTACTATAGAGAATGAGCGCAAGGCAGTTCTGACAGAGAGGTTTGCCATCAGTTATTCATATGTGCTCATAAGAACGTGTTTATACTCTTATTTGAGTTTCCCTGAAGCATTTGGGTATAGGAGTTTATTGTTCATATTAAAGTCAAAGTATTTTTTTGTCGGAAGAAAAATGAAATTAGCAGAGCCCTCGATCTTTTCTATTTCAGCACTGTCAGAATCATTCTGGAACAGCCATTTCCTTTTTGGGTCTATTGTTTGTTTGTTTCGGGGTTTTGTGCTTTTTCATATTTGATTTCTGTGCTTGTTTGTGCAATGTGGTATCAGGAGGCTGTCTTTCCTCTCTCATCATATGAGAAAGCGGCAGAGAAAAAGACTTCCTTTATGATGTGAGTTGAAGCAGTTACTGACTAAGCAAGAGAATGATGTTCAGACAAAGCAATAATCTTTTAATTATTTGACTTCCAGGCACAACGTGCATGCTGGCAAGAATTCTGAATTTTGATTTTGATTAGTCTGGTTTTGTGAAGTGCTTTAACATCTAATTATACCTTGAATGTATATTGCGGTCCTGTCTTCCTGACTGACTGCTACAGCTGGTTTGTGCTAGTGTGTGGCTTACCTTGATGTCAAGAATCTTTTCTGATGCTTTCTGGTTTTTGGATTACTTTTTTTTTAATACATGGATGTTTTCACAGACCAGATAAACTAAATCACAGATGTTCAAACAGTATTGTGGCAGAACCACTGACGTGAACATTATGCTGAGGTGTCTTACTTGGCATTAATTTTTTACAGTGGTGATTGTGTGTTGTGCGGCTCATTTTGAACAGGCATAGTTGAGTGAGCAAACCACAAATATAAATGTGGTGACCATCAAACGTATTCAGGTTCAGCTTTCACCTCTGAATCTTTAATTTCTGCGTCCCCCGAATCCCCGTGAAATCTTGTGTTCCCGGAATGAAGCGTACTAGAAATAACCACTCGTGTTCTTTCAGTGTTTGCAAGAGGTGTATTCGGAAAATGGACCATCACTGCCCGTGGGTCAATAACTGCGTAGGAGAGAATAACCAGAAGTACTTTGTACTGTTTACAGTAAGTATTTTGCAGGTGGCGTGCGAGGTGGGCGGTGCAGAACTGTGGCTCTCGGGGCTGGCTTTCTCCTCTGCCCTGGTTTAGGAGAGCTTTGCAGGGAACCGCTGCAGATTTTCGTTTTGCTAAGTAGGAAACACACATCAGCGACAGGGAAAAAGGCATCCTGGGGAGCGCTTGCCAGGGTTCTGTGAGGTTTGTTCAGCCCCTATTTGATAACGCAAGTAGTTTATTGTGGATTGTCCTTTTACACTGTGGGGCCCCAGGACATCTGTAGGGTTCCTACATGTTGTAGTTGTACGAGTACCCGTGTGGGATCATATGATAAGAGCCAGTGCCACATCTTAAGCGAGGAGTGGGAAGTCTACGTCGCCTTTGGCAAGAGTTATCCACCTTTTCCTCGCAAGAGGTCTATTTTTGTACTTGAAAACCAAGGAGGTGTTTGACTTTTTGTACCATATCTGTGGCATCGTGAGTAAGAGAACAGGAGTGCAGACTCAAATACTCCGTATTTCTGGAAGGGCTGAAATCTGTTTCATCAAAGCGAGCTGCAAATATCCCGTGGGAGTAGCGTGAACATTCCAAGGCTGAGTTTCACCGATGCTCTGTTTTATTAATAAATCTTCTGAGACATCTGTAGGCTGGAGGAAGAATCTTGTCCTGTTATCAAGGGGGAGGTTTCCCATTAAATGGAAAGGATTCCTGCTCTGCGGTGTGCTCTGTTAGGGTACAGATCACAGAACAAAACAAATCCCGCTTCTTCCCCTTGAGCAAGGGTTTTTTTCCACCCTGAGGAGTGAGATAGGTGTTCTAATCCTATGAAAAAGGATTTCTGTTCCTGTTAAAAGTGACATTTGCTTTCAAGTGGGCTGTATTAAACACTTCATTTAGTTGAGAGAAACAACATAAGGGTTGCTAGTTCTGTTCTCAGTTGTTCTTTATGAGACCCGCAGAGGTGAGAGAATAGCAGCATGCTCATCTTGCAAGGAAAACCAAAATATTCTCACCTTTTACTGCTTCCACAGGAGTTTCTTGTAAGAAAATCTCTATTGCTTCTAATGTCAGAGTCCATAGGTTCAGGAAAGTCATCTTTTTAGCTCCGTCTCGGTAATTGTAGCGTGTGTGTAGCATTGCATGTAGTTTAAAGCTTTTTGTTACAAAGCTAAGTTTAAGTAGAGTACTAAATTTTGAGAGGATCTTTCCATGCCAGTGTCTGCCTGAAGGAAAAATGCTTATTTTTTAAAAAAAAAGAGTACCATTTTTCTGAAACTCATGCTGGAAAACAGATGAAGTGGATTTTGCGGTTAAAACCCATCAGCTGTTGTTTCTCTGGGAAAGTAGGGTGCTCTCGAGAACAAGGATGTGAGTTTGACAACATGAGACCTCAATGCTGAAGCTGTCTGTCTCCTTCCTGTTCCCTCAGAGCCATCAGCAAGGCCAGCCAGAGTCCGTGTGGCCAGCTCCAGGGGGCTTGTTTAGGGGGGATGGGAGGGCTTGGTGAGTTTTGGGGTGGTTTGCGGTTTGGTTTTATTGGTTTGAGGTTTGGGGTTTTTGGGGTGTTTGTTTTTTTTGTTGGATTTTTTGGAAGCATTTGGAAGATTTAGCGTTTTGGTCTTCAAGCTTACTTATATTGCATCCTTTATTTTTCAGATGTATATAGCACTGATTTCCCTGCATGCTCTAATCATGGTGGGATTTCATTTCTTGTATTGCTTTGAAGAAGACTGGACAAGTGAGTACTAATAAAATACTGCATTAAAATACCAGATTAGCCTACTAATAAGACCTTGCAATGCAATTTACTTGTAAGGCGACCCCTTTTATTCTGGTGTGTGAAGAATGCCATCAGGGCTCTGCTGTTACCTCTTATTTATTGTATTTTTATTTTTTTTAATGATCAGTCCTGGGAGTTTGTAATTATTTCTGACCTGCTGGGATCTCTATCCTGAAAATTCCTGTTTCAGCTTATGCCTGATACTGCCTAGGGAGAAGCTGAGATATAAAGACAACCTAGATAGTGCATGTGCAGTAATCTGCTGTGGACATGGGCGCAGCACTAATTTCCTGAATCCCAACACAAGATAAGAAGAATGCATACGCTTTTTTTTCAGAAGGGTGATGTGAATCATTCTTGCAAGACTGCCAGGAAAACATGCTAACTCAGATCCAAAAATCCACCCTCAAAAGAACAAACAATTCCTTTCGACACACACACAAAAGCCCCTGAACAACCCAAACAAACAAAAAACACCCCAGCCCTCGTTCTGGAGCAGCCAGTGAGGAAATTTTCTTGAAGCCAGATAAGATGTGTTTTGAAAAACACAGGTGGACATAGAAAATCCTTTAGGTAAGGCCGAGTGAAACAGATGACCTCAGAGTTTTTCAGCTTTCTTGAGTTTGCACTATAGCGTATGAGGAAAAATAAGAATTTGGCTTAATCTGCCTTTGTCTAGGTCGACTTTATCACTGCAGAAAATTCTGTTAAGATGAAGGTTTAAAAGAGAAGCTACACATGAAATGGAGCAGAGGGGAGTCCTCGCCAGTGTGCTGGGGAAACACCCAAGTAGGAAAGAAAGTTGTGTTCTTGAAGTGTTACAGGAGGGTGGGTTTATTTTTTGTTTCGCTTGCTTTTTAAGCTCACAGGAACAGTCATTTTATTGTTGAATATTCTCAAGAATGTCAGAGCTTCCCTGGGCACCTTTCTGAGAGTGGTGACTGTTTAGCTCAGTTTGACAGTTTCAGTAAGGGAAACTCATGGCTCAGCAGGTGTTTTGCAGCTGCTGCATCACCTGATCCCCTTTTGACTTGTCTTGAGTTTAGCTAAAAACCCAGTTCCGTTTAGTGATTTTTACTTTCCAGTTTCGTCTCTTCTAGGAGGCTGCACTTGCTGAAGTTAGCAGCATGTTTTTGCAGACAGTGTGTGCTACTGGCAGTGATAACACCTGAGGTTTACAGTTACTGCCTGGGACTGGGATGCAGAAAGGCTCTTGCTGATACTTATTCCCATAGTGACCAAGGCCACTGCTGGCTCTTGTGTGCCACGCTGGGGGTGCCGGGTAGTGAGAGGGGTCACAAGGAAGTAAAAGGTTGCACCTCCGGGGGGTAATAGGCAGGACAGGTGACCAGCGAGAGTATTCCATCCCATATACGCCATATTTACTAGAAATTGAGTGATCACAAGAATTTTGTCCCTTTTCTGCAATGGCCGGTGTCCAGGGAGGACTCCATCTGACCTCCTGCTTTTGATCCGGATCCTGAGTTCCGAATCCAGCTCCCTTCATCCAGCTCCTGCCGCCGCTCAGCCTGGGGCTTCCCCAGTGCCTCCTGCTCTGCAGCACCAGTGGGGATTGATATTGAAGGAGGGAGTCGGGGTTGCTTTCAGGCTACTATCTATAGTTGTATATAGTTCTTTTATAATTTCACTATTATTTCTATTATTGTTTCATTAAAGCTGTTCTGTGTTTATTTCTCTAACCCATAAGTCTCTCTGCCTCATTCCCATTTTGGGGGAGAGGAGGGGGTTAGAAGACGTCTGTCCATGTTAGTGGCCGGCCCAGCCCTAACCCGCAACACGACTCCCTTGTTTTCTCTTCCCAGAATGCAGTTCCTTCTCTCCGCCAACGACGGTGATTCTCCTCATCCTCTTGTGTTTCGAGGCTCTCCTGTTTCTCATCTTCACCTCGGTTATGTTTGGGACCCAAGTACACTCCATCTGCACTGACGAAACGGTGGGTGTTGCGCACGCTCTCTCCTTTGCCCTGTCTCTCGCCGTGTGTAGAAAGAGGGAAGGGGTTGTACCTTGTTGCATGGGGCGTTTGTGTATGTGTACCCTGTGAGGAGAGATCCAGTGCATAAGCTGAGCCAGCACCGTGCTGGACATGCTCTCTGGGGATTACTGGGAGAAGCAGTATGCACCTATGGGCTGGCTAGGGTGCTGTGTTGACGGTACCTCTGGTAAGGCAGGTGTCAGTAACTGGGATTGCTCCACAGAGAGTGTTCATCCCTACGGCTTGGAGAACCTTTTTTTTTCCTTTAATGAAGTGCTATTCCATTGGTATTGTCTGAAATTGAGCTGTGTGTCCCCTGGTGTCACTATTTACAGCTTTATGTGCTGGAAAGCCAAGATGAGGAAGTGGAGGAGAGATATATACATATATACATATGCACACATTTCTAGTCTAGACAATTTCCAGTTTTAGGTGCTTGTTAAACAGTTCAGAACTTCTCGGCAGAAGGAGAAAGGGAGTGGAGTAGGCGCATGGAAAGCTGCTGGGTATAGCCTGTTGCAAAGCTACCCCATTCACCCCCTGTCCGAGGACAGCATGGCTGAGTGCCAGTGCATTCTGTCACGCATCCCTGCGGATTTTTTTCTTTTTTTGAAAACCAATTTCCATGAATGTGTGCTTTACAAGTTTTCACAAATATCCATAAAACGAAATTCCAGGATTGCTACATTTACCATGAGCTAACAGACATTCACAGGTAAATCTTAGCGTCAGGTCCAAAAGATGCCTGCTCCTGCGGAGCCGGAAACTCCCGAGGATGTCCCTGCACTTGTGAGTGCTGCCGGCCTTCACCAAGCACGCTCAGAGACCTGGAGTGGTTGAAGAGGAGTGATAGTCCTAAAGGAGTTACCACTCTTCTCTCCTCCTCTACTTTTCTTTCCCCTCCACTTGTTTGCCCGTGGCCAGCTGAAGCTGAACAGGGACTTTCGCTGCCGTCGTGAAGCTTGACTGGCATTGTGGGCAGTAAGAGCCCGTCGCCCCTGAGGCTTTCTTGCAGTAATACCTTTTATAACGCTTGGCTTCTGCGAGAGGCTGATGTTCATGCTGCGACTTTTCTGTGCTCCGAGGAGGACTTCAGCTGTTCGTTCTGCTGGGAAGAGCCCCAGGGAGGAGGAAATATGTCACACAGAATGACAAGACCCTGCCGAGATTGAGTTTGTCACTAAGTGCCTAAATTAAGAGTGCCGCCTGTGAAATCATCATCTGAGTTTCTCAATCTTTGAAACCTGTCAAGAGTTTTTGAAACCTGCTTTCTACAGCAAATAACTCTCCCTGCCCCAACCCCCTACCCCATTTTCCCTTCCCCTCAAATTTTGGGAACACGTAGATGTTGAAGGAAAGACGCCACAATCTAAAATCAAAAATGAAATCTGGTCTCCCCCTGCTGGGTTGTGGGTTTTCCTTTTTGTTTTCTTTCTTAACGTGTGCCAGTAAGGATTTTGTTCTGTGCGATGTCTCATTGTTGAGTTACTACCACCGAGCTAGGTGTGTCTGGCAAGCAATCTGTTCTGAGCCCAGGAGTATTTTCAGGTGAAATTCTTCCTGACGTGGTCTCTTGCAGTGACATTTTACTTCACATTTTGGAGATGGGGCTGTGTCTTGCCCTTTCTCACCTTCCTCTTCCAATCACTGGGAGACCTCCTTCCCAGAGATTTGAGGTGCACGGGTGCGTTACCGTACTTAATCATGGGAGAAGCTTACCTTGCAAAAGATGGGAAGTTGAAGAACAGAGTCATCCCGCCTGCTCCTGCTCCCTGCGGAAGAGCCGCTCTCTCCAGCGACTACACTTGGCCGTTTCACATCCTGTGGCAGCCAGGCATCACTTTCCTGCAAGACCAAATTCACCTTTTGGGATTTTGGACAGGATACAATTTAAATTTTTAAATTTTTTTTTAACGACTGACTAGCGAATGTTTCACCTGATTGCTTGACAGCTTAATTTTGTTCTCCTAACCTTTACTAAACCATGCCAAAGATCTCTCAAATCGGTCTCTTACTTAACCCTGTCTCCCCGCTGTCAGCCCGTGCATGTTTTCACAGTGATTCTAATGGAACATGATGAGGCGCCAGGTAGCTGCAGCTCTGCTGAGCCATGGGCACCTCCTGAGCTTGCTTGGTGAATCTGGGGGTGTTACAGAGAGGATCTTTGGGTTTGCGGCTTGTTTTGGGTTGGTTTTTTTTGCTTATAATGGTTTCCTCTGAAACTTCTCCCTCTGGTTAGCACAGAATGCTTTCAGCCATTAAAACACATACTTCTTGTTTGGTTTTAGGCAGTGGAGTTTTTTAGTTGACATCAGAGTCAGTTGGATGGCAGGTCTGAAAAGGTTTACGAAATACCTAGGCCTGAACAGGTAATTTTATTTCCAAGGCGTGCTTGCTGTCCTTAATATTTTTTAATGTAAAGCAATGAAAGGCAAGGCAGTGTAGATGCATTTTTATTTTCTTACTCTGTCCTTTGGATGAAGAGTAGACCTTTCCCCAAATCCAGCACTACAAAATCTGAGCATTTGACTGAAAATGTGGTATTTCTGTTTTCAGGGAATAGAACAGTTGAAAAAGGAAGAGAGAAGATGGGCTAAAAAAACAAAATGGATGAACATGAAAGCAGTATTTGGCCATCCGTTCTCTATAGCATGGCTTAGCCCATTTGCAACACCAGACCAAGGAAAAGCAGACCCGTACCAGTATGTGGTCTGAAGAATTCCTGACCAGCATTTCCACTAAAATAGAACCATATTACAGCACTACTGTTATAAGTTTTCCATGAATGTTTAAAACAAGAAGCAAAACGAACTTTTTTTTTTTAATGTCTATTGAGTGGCTGATAATTGCAGAGAAAAAACAAACCAGCCCTGTATTCCACAGTTTTAGACAACTCTGTATCTCTGGCTGAAACTGCTGCTGCTTTTTTTTTTCTTCTTTTTTTTCCCTTTCTTGGTTGTTTTCTTTTTTTTCTTTTTTTTTTTTTTTTTTAAAAATCTTGTTAACTTTACTGGCCTTTGTTTCTCTCTGCTTTCCATACGGCATAACTAATGTGAAGGGGATCCTCTTTCTCTGTTGTGACCCACCTCTTCGGAATAGATCCTCGTGCTGTCTCCCGGCTGCGCCGAGCTTGGTGGAAAGCGGATGGGTGCCAACAGCCCTGCGCGGAGACCTCAGCACGGCCTGAGGGAGCGCATTGCTCTTTCGGAAGCGAACCTGAACAGGGAAGCAGACACAACGAGTGAGCCAGTTGACCTGGTGATCGTACTTAAAACAACCGTTGCCAACACCACTTCCCACCCACCCTCTTTTTTTCCTTCCAGCCCAAGGACCGATTCCATCCCTCTGGCGTTATTTTGTCTGTTCCCTCCCTTGCGCGCAGGAAATTGTTGCCCTCTTAGGATAACCACGGCAGATTTACAAGACTCTTTGGATTATTCAATGCCTTACACGTGCGGGAAAGGAAGAAATCTGATTTTTCAAGTGTTTAAAGTAGCAGAATCCTCTTGTTTGTGCGTGTTTGTCTCAGTAAATGACTTGTTAGAGCAGTGCCTGCTAAACAGTGTTAACGTGAAAACCTGACGTGAACGCCAAGGTTACTCTAAAGAGTAATACTGACATGATGTGTAGGTGTACCAGGGCGAAGGAGTCAATATTCTTAGTGGTGCCCTGATTTAGAACTTTTGTAAACCTTTTCTCTTACGACTGCGTCCATTTCTCAGTGTGTAAGCACACGCACATATATGGGTAAGTGGTTTAAATTGAGAAATACTTACGGTAAGGAGCATGCGTACCGTTGTGAGCCGTGTGGTGATGAAAGTGGGAGGGGCAGAAGGCATTCTGAAAACGAGTAGAGCTAAACCATTCATAACTACACCCAACATCTTGTGTTCAGGCAGGAATTCTATTCTACTTTTGGGTCATTGACTCCCACGGGCTCATCAAACGAATTGCAGACAAAGGAAAAATACAAATCAGCTGTGTCCATGACTTCCAAGGAAGCTTTTCTTTCCTTGGTTTAAAATAAAATGGTATTTCTTTTTTTTATTTTTGGAAAGTGACCTGTTGAGACTGCTTCAAAGCCATGGGGGAAAGGAGGGAAATCAGGAAAGGAGAAATTTAATAGATGTCTCATTTTGGAAGTAATGTGAATGCTGCATCTTTCCAATCTGTCAATGCTTCCATATGGAAAACAAATGCAATAAAACTTTTCCAAAAAATCTTGTTTGCTGTTCTTACTTTCTTTCTTCAGTTTAAGCGCTGGGGAAAAAAATCCACAAGGGTTTCCTGAACTTTCAATTCTGTGCGCAAGCAGGCGGGACCATATGAAGGTTGACTGAGCATTCACTTTTTAAGTTTAAAAATTAGTTAATTGGTAACATGCTGACCTGTTTTATTTCACCATTTGGTGGAGGCTGCAAGACTGCGCAGCGGCAGCCACAGGCTGCACTTGTGCCTCGGTGGAGGAACAGCACATGACACGGCCAAAACCGCGAGCGTGGGAGCAGTGTGCCTGGGCTTAGCGTTCGGCCTCCGGGGCTTGAATTCTTTCCGAAATTGCAAACCCGGACCAGTTTTGCTGTTGCGTCATTTTTTTCTGCAGATTGCCTGCTGGGTTTCTGCTGATTTAGTGCAAGAAGCCAAGCATGAAGAAGCTTGCGAAATCTTCGCATGTAATTCTTTGGGGTCTGGGGTGTTTTCTCCCGGGGCGTGATGCGAAACCGAGCTGCTGCGTTAAACCGTCGTGTGATTTAAGAGGGTTACTGTGACGGCATCTGTGGTGCCGCTGAGCTGTCTTGTATGTTCATTTCCTCCCCCCTGCCCCGGCAAAGCTTTGAAACTCTCTGTGGGTCATTAGGGAAAATCCACAGGATTAGAAGGTCGCGAGTGTATTTTTCACCCAGCTCTTCTAAAAGTGCTCTTTTAAATGGTTTTAACTGAATTTGCTCATTTTTCCTTCCCTTGAGTATCTCAAAACTTGGATCCAGTGTTCTTGCTTTTATACGAACAGAGTTTCTGCATGGTCAATATTATATCACGAGTGTATCATAGGCAGCTGTAGATCTGACTCCTTTGACGTAGTACATAAGAAATTGTGCCCTGTTTCACATCGTAGTAGCCTTAAAAAAATATAAAATAAATCTTTAGTTCCTTATTTCTACACAGAGAAGACTATTGGGGAAAAAAATAAAAAAGTCACTTCCCAGATTGGAGGGATCTGTTATTTAAATGCAATCAAAATGTTTGCTTTACTACAAGTGACCTTCTTGGAGGGAGAATGAATCAGAACATTAACCAAGGCTCCGGTTCCAGTCTGAAGCTGCCACTTTCACCCGTACAGATTACCTCACCTCCAAGCGGGTATCCGTCTCATGTCGTAATTTGTTTTTGACGATTTGTTAAACGGAAATTATGTTCTTAAATATTTGCTCTTAATTGGCAGAGAGTAAGCTTGTTCTTATGTCAGCTTGTAGTGACAAGCCTACATGTGGCTATGGAAAACTCCTGATTGCTGGAAAAAGTCACGGTATTTTGCCTGTATCTGAACTATCGTAAAAATGCCCAAATAAGGTGAAATTTTAAGTGCTTTATTACTAGTTGGAAGGATTCAAAAAAGCCATGGGAGAAGAGGTCCATATTTCCAAAATGGATGGCTGTTAAGAAGCCACACCTCTTTACCGTAAAGATTACGAGCAAGTGATAACACAATAAGTCACCAAGATTCCCAGTTCTCTGTGAGTTTGGTCTTGTTTTAGGGTTTTACTGTTACATTTGAGGATGAAACTTTGGGTAACGCTGTACTTCATTATTAACTACAACTCGAATAACATCCTGGCTAGAGGCAGGCAGTTTTGCACGTGCTGCGAGGGTTGGTGCCCTGAAACCTGTTAGAAATGTGAGACAACCTAAAACTCTTCTCTTCCCACAGGGTATCGAGCGTCTTAAAAACCAGAAGCCAACGTGGGTGAAGGTCAGAGGCTGGGAGGGGATGAAGCTGGCGTTTGGTGGTGCCTTCTCCATGGGTTGGTTCAACCCTTTTTCAAACCTGGACTGCACGAGGCCGGTGCCGGGTGAAGCCGTGGCAGCGGCTCCCGAGTCTGCAATAATGACCCAAGAAGAAATCGAGCAGTTTCTTGCTCGAGATGTCGCCGTCCAAGTGTTACATGAATAAGCCAAGCGTCCGTGATGCCAGGAGCAGCTTTCAGGTGTTCGGTGGTTGGTTTTTTTGTTTGTTTTCTTTTTTGTTTGTTATCTTTTTTTAATAACTACTTGTCCTGGAGATCTAAGGAGTTGTTTTTTAACATACTTTTGGTACATTAAAAAAATTTAGGAGTATTTCTCCAGATGCCAGGTACAGCACTAGCAGAAGCAATGCCAGTCTCCAGGGAAAGCTTTTATAAGCGCTGAGATTCATAAGCTCCTTTTCAGACCTGTGTCACCTGCTTTATCGAGCTTTTCTTACTTGAATTTTAAGGCAATTTTGTAATTGTCAGATAGATTGGTCCCAGCTCCCAGAGATGTGCAGTCCTGAGGAGTGTGAGTAATCTTTTGGTTTTAGAGCCTGTTGAAAGACTAAAGGAAAAGCCCCGCACAATGGCCAGATTAGCCCAGCTCTGAAGGTTTTCTTGAAAAACGCGTCCCTTTTTAGTACATCCCATGGATGGTGCCTCTGGATGATGAAAGCTGCTGGTGCTCAGGTCTCAGCAGCAGTGAGGAACTGTGCTGTGGAAGCAGCAGATGGGTGAGGATGTAATTCCTTTGGGCTCAGAAATACCTCCGGGGTAAATTTTAACCCTCTGTGCTAGTGGGGCTGCCCCAGGCTGGTGGTGCTTGCCTGAGCATTGGCAGAGCTGCCCTGAGAGGAACGTGTAGTTTTAATTTTAGACTGTTTTTCAATTGGTGGTTGTTTTTTTTTCTTTCTGTTTTCTCCCTTAGCTTAATTGTCAGTAAATTTTTGCAGGATATTGGAGATGTGCTCCTGGTTCTTCCTCCCAGGGAACATGGTTGGCTTTATCTCCTCCTTGCCTGCAACACAGACCAAAGATAATTTGCTTCCTCTTGAAAGCAAGAGAACGGCATAGTACTGTGAAAGACCTATATGATATTTTTATTATTTATGGAGACAATATGAAATGGAATTTTGACCAGGTTTTGTTTGGTTTTTTCCTCCAAAAAAAAAAAAAAAAGCATCTTTATGTATTAATGTTGTGACATTCAGGGCTATTGTGGAGGGATGAGATTTTCTCCTGGAGCTGCTCTCTGCCACAGCAGTCCCTTTTTCTGGCAAAGGGACTGGGAACAAGCAGAGCACCAGGAGCACGGCTTGGCTAAAATCCAGAGGGTATTTCCAAATGGTCATCCCATCCCCTATCCCCTCTGGTTGTCCCCTCTTTGTCAATGAAAAATAGATTTTGAATCTAGGAACTTGTGTATTTGTGTAAACAGCTTTTAGGTAAAGGGAGACACCCTGTGTCTGAGGAAATTGAGGTGTCCCTTCATGTCGTTGAGACAAGAAGTCTTGGAGGTCTCTGCCCTGTGCTGGGGGGTGACAGTGAGGGGAGAAGCTCTCCTTCTGCACCAGCCAACATTCCTGTCTGTGTCCCACAGGCAAGGGCCAGCAGAGACATACCCAGTCCTAGAAGGGATTTCCTACAGGGAGCAATAGGGATGTTGAAGGCAGAAAAGTGCCCTTTTTTAGCTCTGGTTTTCAAATTTTGGCTTGTTGCTAGGCCTCTGCGTTCCAGTTGACACTGCTGTCTGCAGAAGTAATGGTACTACAGGCTCCTGGAGAGAGAAATAGGTTAAGAGCTGAAAATTACCTTGAGGCAGGTGCAGGGGGATGTCAGCTTGGGAGAGACCCCCTCACCAATGTTTCAGTCTTGCTTCCCAGGATGCAACAGCACCCACTTGTGCGGCTTTGGGTAGGCAGGGAGGGAGGCAGCACATTTCCTCTGCCACTCTCAATCCTGGTTCACCTCATAGTGAGAACAGGTGTCCTTTGCTTCCACTTCCCACCTCTTGTAGTGTTCCTCAGGTGGTGGTTTTTCTGCATCTGGGTTTTTTTCAGTAGCTGAAAGGGAGAAGCAGCGTGAAAAGTCCAGTTACGAGCTGGAGGTGGGGACGTGTCCCTGTGCCTTACACATTGCTGTGGGCAGCCAGCCTAGCCCTGGCTCCAGTGTCCTCTGAGACCTGGTGGGGTGAATTCCCACCTGGTAGCTTGAAACCAAATACGATTTTCATAAAACTGAAACCAAACCATTTCTTTTCCCTCCACACACTCCTTACCCCTTGTTACATGATGCCTTCGTCTTCAGGCCACGCTGCTCCAACGCTGGGAAAGCGGCTCGTCAAGAGTGAGCTTGTGGTGCTAGAAACATGAGGGATGCTCAGTGCATCATGGTCCTCCAGATATCCCATCCCTGCTCTGGCAGGAGGTGTTAATACACGATGGACAAGGTCACAGCAGATGCACAAAATGTTCCTGTACTCCTTATCTGGTGTCTTCTACAGCAGGTTTTCTATGCAAGTGAAGAATCTACATCTCTTAAAAATATTTTGCTGTTTGTAACTCCTTTTTTATGCCTCCAGTCACCATTGCACTTACTAAAGAACTAATACTTGATCCGCCAAGGACCACCTGCTCCTCCCTTCCCTGTGGGCACCGCGCACATGGACCCTGCACTCGCTCTGCCTGGGGAGAGAGGCTCCCACTCCCTGCGTGGCTGCCACAGGAGGTGGCATTTTGAGGGGACATAGCCAGAGGGCTGGCAGAGGCCTTTTGTGGCCCACCTGAATGCTTCTCTGGAGGTTCCCCGAATCTCTGAAACACAAGGGAGCAGTAAAAACTTTTTTTTTTCCCCGTTGTTTTCTCCTCCTTTTATTTTCTTCCTCCCTTTTTACGGGCTGGCAGTAGTAGCTGCCGTTTCTTTTTCCCACTCTACAGCCCTAATGCCTTGAGCATTTGCCTTTTAAATAAACAAATAAACCAATCCCTCTACTAAACTGCTTGGCTCAATTTCCTCTTTCCTTGCGGAAACGCTGGAAACCCCAGTGCCCGAGTGCTGCTGACATGTGACAGGGCAGAGCAATCCTGGCAGGCTCCAGCTGTGCACAGCTGTTATCTCCTTCAACATGCCTATGGCTGGAAGAGCTCCAGATGTTCACAGCCATCAGGATCCTACCCACAACCCAGCAGCCTTCAGGGTGGAACAGGAAGGACAGAGGTTGCACATTTCTAGGGAAGCAGTGGTAACAGTACTTCTTCCAAACAGTACCAATTTCTTCCAAAAATGTGAGCTTCACTCCCTGGCCTGAGGTGGGAATGTCTCCTCACAGGTTCAGAGCCACCCCAGCCCAATGATACCATACAACCCAATCACACACAATTCATTTTAACAATCTTTATTGAATCACAATTAACTGCAACCAATGCAACTGCACCCAATTCCCTTAGCTTAATGGGATGTTTGCTCTTTATTTTGAGAGTATTAGCCAGCAACGGAGAAGGTGAGGTGTACCCAAGACCCACGGTGGTGTTACACATTTAGCAAGGCCACCATTTACACTCATCCTACTTGGTGATGGTGATGGCCTTCTCTGCAGAGATCCCTTTGACTTGGGTTGAGGTCAGCTTGGCTACTATTTTCTTCTCTCCTAGTCTTATTGGAGTACATATTACTTCAGACTTCATGATCTTACCAGGCATTAAATCCCTGAGAAGAAAGGAAAAAACAAAAAAAACCCCGTGACTTATGGTGGTTTATTGTGCTGCGTGGTTTCAAACATGGCTTACAAAGGGCCCTGTTACTCTAAATCCCCTCACGGCTTCCTCAAGGGAAATTAAATAAAATTAAAAAAAAGAGAAACAAAACAGAGTCCTGCCACGCTTGTTTCATACTGAGCTCCTCTCCTTACCCTTGATCAAACGTTGTCATCTTAAATATGCCCAAGCCCTCCACCAGCAGCTTGCAGTTTTCCAGGGGCACATTCAGTTTGTTCTTGAAGATAAAGGCACAGGAGAATTCCTGGTTCAGTTTGGCTGTTTCTGGCATCTGGCAGAGGAGGAAAGAGAGAAGCAAACCCAAATGCTAGGGATCAGACAGGTAATAAAGATGCTGGAACTGCTGCAGGTTTGATTCTCACCACCAGCACAGTGGGGGACAAGCCCCTGATATCCCTTCCATCCTCCTATGGCATCGTGTGCTCTGCTCCGCTGGCTGTTTTCCCAACTCCTCTCTGGTTTCTCAACATGTTTTACCTTCAGGAGGTGGAGCTGTGGGATCAGAGGTGGGCCCCGTGCAAACCATCCTCTTCCATCCCTTTCCCTCCCATTTTAGATGGGCAATAAAATCTTGATTTCATGGCTGCTTTCCACCTTCAAATAAAGGCTAAAGAGCCAAGGAAAATGCCAAGGATGAAGCACCTCAGGAAGCAGCTGTTTGGGAGGCCCCCTCGGAATGCTAACACCACCAATGTTACAGCGAGCGGGGCTTTAACCCTCAGCCCTGGCTGCCTCACCTGGACAGTGATGGGAGGGTAATCAAAGCTCTTTGTCATCCCATTGGTGAGTCTGTCATCTGTGCCCTCGACCTCGGCGATGGTGGTGACATGGATGAGCAGTTCATCTTTCACTGAGGCCAGCGTCTTCATGTACGCATCGGCTGCAATTTTCAGAGGGACCTGCTTCTCTGCAGGAGAGAAAATATAACTCAGTGCTTCATCACACGCCCAGGAACTGGGTGGCAAAGTCAGCTCTGGAGGCTGGTGTCCTAGGGGTGGGATGAGATACACTTGGTGAGACCATCCTGCTTTTGGCTAAACTTGGGAACCTTTTGGGGGGAAGCCCCAGCTGGACGGGTGGTACCGGGCACATGCAGCCCATGGGAAGGGGGACTGAGCCCACTCTGTCTTTCTGCCAAGCCGAGCACTGGCTTGGGCTCATATCCAGTGTCTCAGCTGCCCTGGCTCTCAGGAGGAGGCAGAGGAGTGTGGGGTTGGGCACATTTAAACCTGTGTCCTCTGGGGTTTCTCTGAGGCTCTGTTCGTTATAAAATTAGCAGCTTTCCTTTAACTTCAGATTTTGTCTTTAATTGCCTGGACAAACTGCCAGTGGCTTGGAAAAGCCTCAGAGTGAGCAGTGCCAGAGCCTGGACTTTGCTTTAGCTGGCGAGGCTTCCTGGCTCCTGGGAATCAAAAAAAAAGCACCTGTCCTTATCTCTAAATGCTGCCTTTCTATCCTACCCTGCTGCATTTTGACAGCCACAGTGTGTGTAAAAACACCCAGCAGCAAAAATTTTTTTGTGTGTGAGTGACTCATGCTTGGAATGAGCAAGTACTGTTAATTATTTATCACTCATTAGCCTCTTTTTTCACAAATTTCAGTCACATTGCTGGGGATCAGAAATGCAACCCAGGTCACTCAGAGGTACACAGTGAAATAGCAAACAGCTCTTGGGATCAGCCAGGCAGACCGCCATGAGGTTGAAATTTGCTTGGGTGGAGAACTCTGAAAATAGGGTTTTGGTCCTGTTACGGTGAGATCCCAGCCCGTAACAGAGACCCCCAAATGCACTAACAAGAGGGAGGCAGCAGACAAACAATTTCTGCTCCTCGTGTTGTGCAGAGCCACACACTGACCTGTATCAGAGCTACTGTCAACCCACTCCAGTGAAACCCCCAAATGCTACAGTAAATAGTCTGCAGAACACAAGCAGCTTTCCATGCCTACCAGATTTGCCTTCAAGCTTGATGGTCTCCTTGACAGATCCGAGGTTGGCCTCAGTTTTCCCAGTATAGGACTGCAGCTGGCAAGAGCCAACAAGATTGATGGTCCAGCTTCCAGGATTAGAGGTCTTCACTGTGATGGCCAGTTCAAGGGGATTGCCAGGATACAAAGCTTCTGTATTGGTTATCTCAATCTGGAGCCCACTCTGGGAGACCACCTCAGGTTTGGAGCCCATGTCACCCAGGGGCATGGCTGGACCAATGGAACGAGGCATTATTCCTGACGGGCGTAGGAAAGACGAAGCTTTCTGCATGGACTCCCTTTCCTGTTTAGTGCCTAGACGAAGAAAAAGCTGGATGAGAGCTGTATCTCACTCTCCTCACTCGGAGCCACCTGCCCTTGCTTAGGCTTTTGCTGCTGAACAGAGCAGGTGTCAGGGCACCTTCAGCCTCTGCTCGGGAGACCCTCTTGGTTTATGCTACCAGCATAAACCAGCAGGTCTAACTGTAGTGTTTTGGACTGGAAGAATTTCCTGAAGGAGACACTTTTAGAGAATGGATTCTCTTAAATTTTTCAGCTTAAGATTTTCCTGCTCTTCACTGGCAAGATTTTAACAGTGTAGCAGTCTGAGAACCAGGGGGAAGGAATGTGGGTTTGTTTCCAATATAGTCTGAGAAATGGAAACACAAAAAGAATGAAGAAATGAAGCAACTCGCTTCAGTTTGCCACTGCAGCTACCCCTGTGGTTTTTCTCCTGGAGAAAACACCCGTAGCAGGGTGACCTACACGGCCAGGAGTCTCCTTTTCAGCACTGTTTTAGAGGACAGGGGCAGTTACCTTCAGGGAACTTGTACTGCGCAGTGATGTCTTCCCGCTTGTCCTGCCCCACGGCTTTTGTGCTTATATTTATGCCGATGCCTTGGGTCTCCGTGGCAATCTTGACGTACTTCTCCTTGCCATTCACCTTCTTGACAAGCCAGTAGACTTCGTCAGCGTTCACCTCCGCATACACGAACTTGCTGTCAAAGGGCAAATACACCTCCCCTTCTCGGACAGCCTTCAGTGGGCATGGACCACATTGGAAAATACCTAGAAAGCACAGGCAACACCATTTGCTTTTCCAAATACAAGTAGATTCTCCAATTTTTGTTCTGCCTTCAGACCCACCCAAGTGGGAATCTGTGGCCATGGTAGTTGACTCGTTAGTAAATATTCCTCCAACTCAGCGATGACCTCCAAAAGCCCTCATTTATCCCATAGCTCTTTGGGCTTCTTCATAGACGACCAAGGTGTGGTAAGAGCTTTTACACCTTTCCTCCCACTTAAATAACGTTAAAGGTTTGAAAGTCATGGCTTGGTGCTGGGAGTCCACCAAGTCCAGCCACCTGGGCCTGATCTGCTGGCTGTTTCCCACTTTCTGCACAACTTTGAGGATTAATGTTTTCTTTCCCACCTCCGAATTCCGTGCATTTGTACAGAGAGGGTAGTCAGTAATTTTGGCAGTCAATCCTCTCATTTACCAATGAACAGACTCGTGATTTGCTCAGGAAAGCTCTACAGAAAGTGTCTTTACTGGGGAAAGCTGTGACACCTCTTACTACAGAGACTGCTTTGAGTCCTCAACTTCACCAAAGAAGTCAGAGGCAGGTAGAAAGAGAACACAGCTCTGATTTCCAGCTGTGTGCTCTAACCTCTGCAATGATACTCATGCTTCCACAGCATCCTACGAGGTTGATTTTCTGCCTGCCAAGAAATGCCATTCCTCCTGGCCTTGGCTGAAGACAGCAGGAGTGAGACCTCCAGCTTTAGGATGTCAGTGCCCAAGCATGTGAAGATATGCACAGGGAGTCGGTGTTTGCTGACTGGGGACCGTAGCTTGAACATGAACTGTCCCTGCCTCCCTTGGGAGCTGCAGAAGAGCCTTTTGAGGCAAATCCTACCTTGACTCAGCTCCTGAGGGGTTGCATCGATTGCCTGCCAGCCATCAAACCCCGCTGGCATATCTGTCCTCTTCATCCAGACGTCGTTCCACACGTGGAAGTTCCTGCGGGTTGGAAAGAAAAGGAGTGAGTTGTTACAACCAGAAGAATCACCAACTCCTCCCTTAATCCTTAAGTAAGGGCAGGTTTTATGGGGATTTTTGTGTAACCCTGTGAAACCTCAGGCTTTCTCTCTCTCTCCTGGTCAGCCAACCCAAAGCAGTATCTCAAAGGAATTGCTGCAACTGGGAAATGTGGCACTGTGGGGTGGTATGGGGGTGGGAAGTGTTAATGCCCCTTGACAGTACCAGACAGAGTCCAAGGACGAGTCCATCTTTTCTCCATCTTCGTTCAGGTAAACGTCAACTCTCAGGTTCTCATCTGTATCGTGTGCTGAGTTGAAGTTGCTCACACAGCGGGATGGGATCCCCAAGCAGCGCATGACTGCAGCACAAACACACAAAACACAGGGGCACAAGATCACTCAGGCTGATGGTTGCCTCTGGAGGTCATCTCATATGACCCCTCTGCTTACCCAGGGTCCTCCAGAGCCGGTGGCCCAGGACCGTGTCCAGACAGCGTTAAACTATCTCCACAACCTCCCTGGGCAACCTGTGCCAGCACTCCCATTAACCTCATAGTGAAAAAAAGCTTTTTTTCTCATGTTCAGAGGGAACCTCCTCTGTTACAGGTTGTGCCCATGGGTAAGACCCCCTCTAAACCTTCTCTTCTCCAGGCTGCGCAGTCCCAGCCCTCTCAGCCTCTGCTTATGTCACAGCTTGTGCCACCTCCACCACTCAGAGCCACGGTGATTTGGTTTAATAGCACAGTAATTAGGGAATCAGAGAAGGGTGAGAGTTCAGTTTACCTGTAGTGAGGACTCCTGAGAAGACCCAACATTGACCATAAAGGACCGGCTTCTTTGTTTTGTAATACTGCTGCAAAATGGAGACGCTCCCAATCCAATCCGTAGGGGAGGTCCCGTTGTTGTAATTCCCTGACCAGTTCCCCAGCAGGACGCCGTTGTCATTGTTGGCATTCACCTGTGGCCCCACACATGTGCAAAGGAGAAAAGCAGAGGGGTGAGGCTGAATGAGGCTTAAACACTGGGCCCTCTGCCCACCCTGTGGGACCCAGCAAGGCTGCTGGTGCTGCCTGAGGGCTCCCTTAGTTGGAAACCCTCCACCTGCGTATCTAGAGGGAGGTAGCACCACTGCTCAGGGCAGCCAAAATGCACTCTGCATCTTGTATTTTAAACCCCAGGGCTCCAAGAAGGGTCTCAACACAGAGAGTACAACTCTTGTGTTGGCCCTGCTGAGGAAGGACAGCCACTAGGCTGGCTGCAAGCTTTGGAGATGGGGAGATGCTATATTTCTCTTACGTCTTCCCTCCACCCAAAATGCCACTGGCTCTTTCCTTGCAGTATCCAAAAGGAACCCATTTCAGATGCATCCTGAAACGGTGTTTGAGAGCAAGAAAGGAGGAGGGAAAGCTGGAGAGGCAATGTACTTCTGCAGGAGAGGCATACCAAAGCAGACATGGCTCTGGAGACAAACACAGGATCTCTTCTGTTGCTCAGCTTGAGTTTGCTTTTGTCCAGCAGATACATGCAGGCATCCAAGATTAATCCCTCAAACTGTTTTGGAGAGAAAGTAGAGATGTTTTTATACACTTCTCTAAAACAGAATTTGCCCAGTGCTACAAAGTCTAAGTACCTGGAGGAAACTGACTAGTCCTAACTTCTAAATTTCCTTTATGATACTGAATTTTCAAGTTTATAGTTTCCCAAAGCTGTTCTCTCCAAATAAGGGCAGAAATGAAACGCCGCTTTAGAAGACAAAAGCCCATCTCACGTGTCTTGCAAACACAGTTGGAACTTGACCTAGCAACCTTTACTCCTATGAGTAGTTCTAAGTCACCAATGTCATCTCCCTGCAGCCCTGCAAATTACTCACAAAAGTAATGACAATTTAAGAGCATGACAGATCTTCAGCCTGTTGACATAGCTACAAAATGAACCTTGGGGGAAAAAAAGGAGGTACATAAACGGAGATTATTACAGCAAAAGATTCCTAACTAGCAATTGCTGTTAAAGCTCCCAGCAGTCCAATTCACAGAGATGTCAAACATCCGATCCAACGAAACTTGGCAGAATATCAACATCAATGCATTGCTTAACAGCAGAACAAATATTAGGATAGGAACAGCCCTATGGACAAAGCCTTTTGGCCCCTTTGTGGAATAGGCATCAGCATGAGCGGTTTCACTGGGCTATCTGTACCCTGCAGCTTGAAACCACAGACTTACAAAACAAAAACCAAAAGAAAACCCACAGATTCCAACATTTTTTGGTGGGGAAGTCCTTCTGGGTAGGGTGCAGAATGCTCTGTTTGGGTGCCTGTGTGCAAATAAACCCACTTTGGCACCTGCCTCCTCTCTAGCCTGAGTGAGTTTGTCACTCCAGTCTGCTGGAGTTATCTCAGAGGCAGCGTGGAGGAATACCCTTCCTGAGAGGGTGGCTGGTTGTGTCCTGCACCAAACAGTTCCCCTCGCAGTCTGTGAAAAGACCGCTTGAATGATGACACCCTCTACCAGTGCTGTTCCCCTATTTTTTCCTGATCATGACACAATAGGTAAATAATAAGACTTTTTTCCCCTGCCAGCCCTCTCCACAGTTCACAAGCTGGTTATCAACAGCTACTGTGTTGCATGAGACTGGGAAGGACTCCTCAGAGGAATTTTTTCAATCAAAAATGCTTTGCCCCCAATTTCCACATCCTTTGCCAAGGGGTCTCATGATCTGACTACAAATGTACCATTAAACCCTGTTCTCTAGCTGTGGCTGGGGAAAACACTTATTTCCACAGATCACTCTAAGCAGGTTAGCCCTCCCAAGGAAGCTGGCAGGATTATTCAAGTGCTCTGAGCTACTCACGAGCTTAAACTGTTTGTAGGTTTGACTCATTAAATGAATGCCTACAGGAGAATGAGTGAGTAAGGGTACTGACAAGACAGCTGTGTTTTACCTGCCCAAAGTTCCACGGTCTGTTGTAAATGCTGTCCGCAGAGCCAACATAGATGCAGCCAGAATCGTTGAGCACATACTCCTCTCTCTCTGCCTCACTGGCCAGGAAGACAACATCACCTGGAGAAAACACCCCTCAGACGTTACGTAATTTGCACACACAAAGTTTTTTTTGGAAAGCTAAGATGGGGGAGCTGGTGGTCTGTAATATTCACCCCAATTTGTGACCATGCAGTACTCACAGTTTTCCTCCTGTCATAGAAGAATTTCCTATAAGACTAAACTTTATTTTACTCTGGTAGTTCTATTGCTATACAACCACTGTTTCAGTAAAACGCTTCTTTCTGAACAAACATTTTAGTGGACTAGGTAGACAGCAGGAAAAATGGGAGCAGAAGTTTCCGCCATGGAATCTCTCTGGCAGCAGTAATCATCACCACTCACCTTCACACCAAGGATTGAACAAAAGGTAGACGGTGCCATTTTCAGGCTTGTAAATGTTACTCCCAGTCTTCACACTGAGGAAGTATTTTCCCACGGGGGCACTGGGTGAGCTGGTGACAGACAACACGCACTGGGGAGGTGATAAGAAGAGATGGCATTAAGGACCCTCCACCATGCTGCACGACCGGCACGACTGCCGAAACTGGGTCTGTGCAGGGAGAGAACGGAAGGCAGCGGGATGGGGCAAGTAGGGGAGCAACAAGTTACACCAGGCAAGGCTGGTGCCCCCCTCAAATTATAGGGTTGAGTGAGAGGAGGACAGGAGTATGAGGATGTGCTTGGCATTGCTGCCCCCCAAACAGGAGCGCTGCCTGTGGGCTCTACCTCTCTGCCGCCGCTCTTGACGATGGAGATTAGCCACCCGCCTAGATCCTGCTCCCGCTTAGGGTTCAGCGACATCAGGGTACCCCTGATTTTCATTGGGTTTTCACCTGGAAACAAACCCAACATGAGATGCTGTAGGTTCTGCAAAGACTGTACAATGCCTGGTAGCAGGAAGGGGCAGCCAGGGTTTGCCTGCTTTGCCCGACAGCTGCAGAGGTGAGGCACCCACTTACCAATGCTCAAACGCAGTGAAAGCTTGTCGGAGGCCTTCAGCTCCCTGCTGAAGCTGAGCTGGAGATGAAAGGGCTGTCCGCGCCGCACCACCAGGTTCTTGATGTCATATGCATCCGTGTGGTGCAGGGGACAGTTGTGGCTCTTGAGGAAGTCAATCCCAGTGACCTTCAGATCGGTCCCTAGAAAGCCGTTAGGAGAAAGGGAGAAAGAAGGTTAAAGAAAAAAGAAAGATTGATGGCAAATTGCTCAGTAAAGATAGGTTTTTTCTTAACAGAGCCCTCTAAGTCATCGAAACATCTAAGCATCCAGTGATCTAGTACAAGAAATCACACTGAGGATCACCAGAACTAACAGATGGTACAACAGTTCATATATATATATAAAATAACATATATGTGAGATGCTTGGGGGAGCAGAGCAACCTTGTTGCAGCAATGGGATGCAGATGCTCTGTCCATGCTCCACTTTCGAGGGAGAAACAAGATTTTGGCAGAAGCAAGACTTTAAGCATTGCTTAAGCATGACTGCATGATGGCACGACTGCAACTTGCAGTCATGTCACTGTGCTGGCTCTCGGCTGCTGGGCCCCCCCCGGCAGGCCTGACACAGGC